CCCCCCCCCTTAAATTGCCGTGCAATTCACGTGGACCCCTCTTACTCCTCGCGACGAACCTGATGTAATTGGACGATTATTCTGCTGTCGTTCTCGGTGAATTGCTTGTCGCTGTGTGTTGTCGTTACTACGGGGTTGGCCATTTCGGTGCCAGTGCGTGGCGAACGTTTCTTCTTCCTAGGCTACGTTTTTTCGCACTTTTTTCGTGTCTGTTGTTGATGTTTTCAAGGGGTCAGCTGGCGGTGCTTCATATGCTCGAAGCTTCGCCAATTGCGTCCATTCCTCGTGCGTTCACTCGGGGGGTGTTGCCTTCTTTCGTTTTTTTCGCACCTTTTGTTGTTTTTTTTGTGCCCTGCCGTGGACTGGAAGCACGAGACCGTTCCCTCGTCAAAACTCCCCTACATTCATTCCGTATCGAACTGGCGTGTCGGCAAGCGCCCCGTCGTCCCTGTCGGTGTCAAGTCGAGTCCCAACTTTGATACAGAAACGGCCCGCACTCTGAGAACTTGGCAGTTGAGAGAAATTGATACAGCCTAGAATATCTCAAAATCTTGAAAGTTGAGCACCGTTTATGAGCTCGGTTAAGCACCTCTACACTAAGAGCTGTTTTGCCGTGCCGGCGCAAACTGTATGAGACCTCGTTAGACTCGCGGTGTGGAGCATTTGTGCCTCACGGCTTTGGTCCTGCGGCCTCTTGGTCCGTTCTTGTTTGTTGTCGCCCTAGGTGTGCTGTTTCGTCCCCGCCCCACACCCCCCTTGCTCCATGGCTATTGGTGCAGCGCTTATAGCGGCGTGATCGGGGATCGCAAACGTCGCGCGCGTTGTCGACCTCATTTTTGAAAAAAGCTTTTTGTCGGTTCTTTGCCTTGATTGCTTGTTTGTCGCAAAGCATTTGCCGGCGAAAATGTCGAGTCAGGGCGTCGAAGCAGGGGTTCGGTTTCCCGTGGCTAGTTATTGTGTAGGGTTAGTACTCTGTCGTGTGTTTGCTGGCCACGTTGGCGTGTGTACATGTCTTTAGCGTGTGCGTGATCTTTGAGTATCGATTCACGGACGGTGTTTCTTTTTCTCTCTTTTCTTGCTTCTTTTTCTCTTCTTTCTTGCAGGTGGAGCGGCGGAACTGGGTCAAGGTGGAGGCGGTAAACGCCAAGGGGAAGAAGGTGAAGAAGAAATACACCGACTGGACCGCTAGAATATTCCAGGTGAGGTTTGTGTGAGCCTTGGTGGTAACAACTACGGATATTGTTGGTGCTGTGGGCCTTACATCAGTTCGCCCTGTGATGGTCGCCCCGCCCCCCCCGCAGGAATCGTTAGACCATTGACCTCGCATCCCTACGAAGCCGGGGCGGAGCATGCCGGG